GGGCTCTGGAAGGCCTGGGCTGGAAATGACACTGTGAACAGATAACGACTGGGTCAGTGCAGATCCTAAATGAGCACAGATCCCTGCTCTGTCTGCATATTGCATATAGGGTTTGGCTTTCCTACAGCAGGGTCAGACAACCCTGAAATGCTGAGCTCAGCCTCAGCAAGCTCTGGTCACCTTTGCTGCCTTTCCAGGTACCCTATGCTTACCCTTAAACTTCCCCATATGAGAGAGTGGTGAAGGAGTTCCTGGCAAAAGCAACTCTGGATTTCACCCTGGAACAACCTAATGAGGGTCTCCTAATTAGGTCACTGGAAGGGGCTGAGCAAGGAAGGCCAGCCAGCAAGCCTGGTCAGTGGCTTCTTGGTGTTGTTCTCCAAAGGTTGTATCACACTGTGAGATATGTGAACTTTAATTGACTTCAAAGGAGAACCAAGAGGCTGTTGTGTCCCCTTCAGCCTTTAAGAGGAAGAGGAAGGGTCTCTGTGGCTGCCTCTGTCCTGCTGAGAAAGGATAGCCATGCCGCTGGCTCCAGCTTGCAGATCCATATGGGAGCTGGTGTGTGGGTCTGGTGGACAGCAAGGACTTGTGTATGGAGGAACAGGCTCTCTCTCACTCACAGCAAGAGCCACTAATCAGTCAACCTGCTAATGGGTAGCTTGATGAGTAAGTGATCCTGCTCAGAGCTCACCGAGCGGCTGCTCGGGCTCTGGGCTGCCTTCCTGGCATTTGCTGGCAGCAGCCTGTGGATGAAACATCTTGCTGGAAGGTGAAATCTCTGTCAGTGTGGCAGAGAGGCAATGGGAGGGTTGTGGGGAAAAGGGAGCTGGTCTGCCCATCAGTGCTTTTCCTTGGAGCTGGGCGTGTCCCTTCCATTTTAGGCAGCAGCTGAACTCAAGCGTAAGTGTGGGACAGCAATTGAAGTTGGAAATGCAGCAGGACCTTGGCTTGGCCACTAGAGGAAGGGCAAGGGAAGGGCACATATTCCATTTTCAAAGGCTTTCCAAGGGCTAACATGGCATATTAGCTGACTGGCTCTCCTATGAGCTAAAAAGGCTTGAAACCTTCTCCAGCTAGTACTGTGTGCAGTGAAATCCATGAAATCTCATCTCTTGCGGATGTACAGTTTGGGTTTGGAGTCTCTGGTGTCTAGTAAGCTGTTTGTGCTGAATGGAGCATCTCCCTTTCCCGGGATATTTATAGCCTCTCTCTCTCTCCCACGCAGATTGTCTGATGTCTAATAAGGGATGATACAATACAGTTTGGAAGGTGCTAATGATGTCTCTCCTCTGATAGTCTATTCCCATGAAATTTATAGACTCTGACTGTCTCCAAGACCTCTGTTTCTCGGTCACATCAGGTTGAAATCTGTTTGCAGTGTCAGAAGTTGCTGGGGAGTGGGCAGAGGACAGACTGATGCAGCAGGATTGCATATGCTTTCCACTTCTTAGGAAACTAGGCTGAAAATGCGCCCAGCTCTGTTTCCTGCAGATCTGGGGTGGGGGGCAGCTGTGGCTCAGATCATGGAATTGTGTGTTTGGGAAAGCAAGCTGGTTGTGTGGGAGGAAGGTGATGAGCTCAGAGACTACCCAGGAGGAGGAGTGCTCAGCCTCCACTGCCATGCTGTGGGTTCCTCAGGCACATTCGAGCTGCCTGGGGTGGCCAGCGAGTGCAGAGTGTGGCCTCTTGTGGGAAACAGCCCCTGAGGAGGATAAACGAGCCAGCCCAGAGCTCGTGGCTGGTGTGAAGAATTGCCTGGCTAAAGGATAATGAATGCCACAGCAGGAGACAGAGCGTTTCTCTGAGGCCATTCATCCCCTTTATCACCCCGCTAACAAGCCCCAGAGCGCCTCTGGAGAGAGTTCTCTGGAGCAGCACCATCCCTCAGCCGTGCTGCTGGCTGGGTGCTGGGAGTCAGGGGCACAGAAAACCACAGACCATCCCCCCCAAACAGCAGCCCTGAATTTGGGTGTCAGCAGTGAGGACAGTGCTGTGGCTTTGCTGGTGTGGAGCCCATGCCCTCCTTCGTGCCATGCTTGGTGCCACCTGAGAGATCTGGATGTCAAAGCCAAGCATCCGTGTTTTTTTAAAGTACTTCTGGGCAGCACCTGCAGCACCCTTAGGAGCATTGCTCGATCCTAACTCCCAGCTTGTCTGAGATGTAGGATTTATAAGATTTATACAAGACCCAGGAGGAGTTTGGGGCCGCCGGCACAGAGGTGAGTTGGTTCTGCTTCACTTGCAGCACAGCTGAGCCCGTGCGTGAGCCTTGTGCGAGGAGGAAAGGGCAGGAGTGATGTGCTCTTGGTAAAAGCTAATAAAAGCTAATTCATCCCTTTGCTCCGAGACAGTAGGAAGCATTAGTGGCTGGCTGAGTGCCTCCTCCACTGCGGCAGCGTGCTGGGTGCCTCCGCCTTCCCCCTGGCTGGGAGCAGAGCGTGTCCTCCCGTGGAGGGGAAGGCGTCTCTGTCGGAGCTGCGCCGTCTGCAGCTGCGTCAGCAGGCAGCCCGTGGGGCTCTCTGTAGCTGGCATCCCTCCTGGGAAGAGAAACCAGCCTGAAAACCTGGGCAGGTGGGTCTGGAAATGAGGATGGACATCCCTCAGGTGATCTGGACTTCTGCTCCAGGCAAATGCCTTTGGCTCTGCCCCAGGGCTTGGGCTACAGCTCGTGGGAGCAGAGCAAAGCACCATCCCGGATTTAGCTGGGCTATAGGAGACCCTCAAAAAGGCTGGAGCCGTTTGTGCCCAAGGGGGTGAACAAATAGGTTGGAATACCTTCACCAAACATCTTGTGTGCTCACCTTGTGTGCTGCATGTGCAGGTACGTGCTGTGCCACCCTGCATGCCCACCTGCCAGAGTGATTTGTGTCTGGGGCACGGGGCACAGTGGGTGAGCATCAAGTAGAACTAATTGCCAGTAATTGGAAGTTTTTTCCTTTTGTTCTTCCTGTTTGTTTTCTTAATTTCTCCTTCTTATCCTCCTCCAGGTTTGGCTGTTGGAGGATGCGTTTTGTGTGGTCCATGGTAAGAAGAGAAAGCAAACAGGAGAGTCTGTGTTGTGTTTGTGTGTCCTCAACAAATGCTGGTGGTGTTTTGTAGGGGCAAAAAAAAAAGAAGAAGAGCTGCAAAGCTTTGCAGATGAAGAGGGCTGTGATGTGTAATTGGGTTGTTCCAGTGAGGGCAGCAACAGCAGGGAAGCAGCAGTTGGTGGGGAAGATCTGGAGTGTGTCTGCAGAGCTGTGGAGCAGAGGAGAAAGTGTGTCTTGGAGGTGGGTATCTCCTTGAGAGTGAGCAGCACACCAGCAAGAGGATTTTAACCCTAATTTTTTCTCTCCATTTTTTTATCAGGAGGTCTCCAAGCATTTTAAAAGGAAGCTAACACCACAGATTGGAAAACTTTACATTCTGAGGCTTCAGTGACTGGTTTAGAGCCAGCCAGAGGAACCTGTGAGTGCTGAGCCCTCACGCTCTCCTCCCAAACCATTTGCACTCCAGACCCTGGCCTCTCTCCCAGGCCCCTGTGCTGACCAGACTGATGCTGGGGAGCTCACTGGAGGCCAGTCTTGTCCCATAGGGTAGAGGCAGGACATGTTGCCACCTGTGGCCACTGCCATCAGCTGGACTGGCTCTGGGAGGGAGGATGCTGGCACAACAAATGGTCCTTCAAAATGGGGTTGGATTTATAGGGGTGCACTCTAGTCCCAGTCTGTGAGGCCCCTGTTTCTGCCCTGACCTCTCTCAGCATTTTGGGAGGAGTTCACTTACAATTTCAAAACATGTGGTGCTTTTTCTTCTTTTTGCCCAGCACCGCTAAGTGTCGAGTCGAAGGGAAATACAATACATCACCTTCCTCATGGGCTGCCATTCAGCCAAGAGTAACAGAGATTAGCCTTCAATCACAGGGGGGCCAGAGCTGAAGGAAACCTTCCCGAGGACACGCTGGAGAAACATTTTCATTAGTGGAGGAGAAGCTGACGGAGATGGAGTGGCCCTTCACCTCAGCTGCCAGACCTCTCGCCTGCCTGGCCTTAACAGGACAGGGAGATGCTAATGGAGGAGCTGGTGCCAGCTGCAAGTCTTTAAGTGCTGTCTGCATCCAGATGTGAGGAACAGCTGTGACACAGCAAAGCAGTGCTTTTAGAGCCTGGTGGGGGTGGGTTTGTTTTGGGGTTTTTTCCCTGCCTGTGAGCGCTCACTGCTGGAAGCAAAGTGGCTCTCAGTTAAAAGGGAAAAATGGGTGCTGGGCCATATACCAGAATGGATACCCTGGCATGGGCCAGAAAATTATGTCCTTGGGGGATAAGGTCCATAGATCCAGGAGATATCATGGTCTCTGCCTCCTGCAACACGTTTTGCAATTTTAACAGGACTGCCTTAGTGGTAGTGGAGGCTTTCTCTGCTCCATGGAAAGCTGTGGAAAGCTGTTCCACAGTCTGCTGTTGCAGGCATTTGCTCTTATTTTGCATCCCCCCAGAGCAGTTGAGGTACCCAGGGTTCACTTTTGCTATTGATGTCTCCTTTGTGTTGAAGAAACACCCCCTGGACCCCAGCTGGATGCCTGGCACAGACCTGTCTGTCCTGGTTACTGGGAATTAGCCAGCAGGATCCCTGCAGCCACATCTGCCGTCCCCCACCACCTCACCTCCCTGGGGCTGGCGTGCTCCTGACAAAGGCAGGCTCCATCTCTTTCACTCACAGCTGAAGGATGCCTTGCCTGGTCCTGTCTTGCAGGTTGGAGGGAAATCGTTTTAATTTGTGTGGCACATTCCTTTGGGCGGGAGGTGGGGGGAGAAAAGAAACAACAAAAAAAAATCCAACAGAAACTCTGGCTGTTCTGAGTATTTTTAGCTGTTTGTAAAGGACCATTAATATCTCTCTCTCTTTTTTTTTTTTTTTTTTTTTTTTTTTTTTTTTTTTAAAAAATTATTTTTTTTTTTTTTTTTTTTTTTTTTTTTTTTTTTTTTTTTTTTTTTGTTTTTAACTCCCTGCAGACCGTTCTCTCTCGGGGGCTGCCTATGGTGCTGCATTAACAGCACATCTCCGTGGTGAAGGTAAGCAGGTTCTCAGTTTTCTGAGAGACTCCCAGGGAGCTTCATCTCTCCTCTTCCTGTGTGCCCACTGTGTGCACAGCCCTCTGAGAAGGGACTCCCTGGCTGGGAGGGTGAAGGCTCAGAGATATTCACGCCTTCTGGGATGGGTTTTATCAGGAATGGGATTTAAGCTTCCTGAGAGGGAGGCGGCACAGCCTGGCAGCCAGGGAATTGGGTTGGAACGCCAAATCAGATGTGGCTTCTGGTTTTGGAGCATTCTCACATTAAGGTACTTCTCATATCACCCTTCTCCGTTTCAGAACTGAGTGCAGCCAAAATGAGAGGAAAACCTGGCTCCTGAGCACTTTTTCCCCCACAATGCCTTCACCTGGCTTGTATTCCCTTTTCTCCTACAATCTCAGCTGGCTGAGTTTCAGTGCCAGCCTATTGAAAGGAAAGGCACGTGCTGGCTTATGGAGGGAGAGAGACCTGAGACAGGATAAATCTGGAGGCAATGAGATTGGGGGGAGGCAAGTCAGCTGCTCTGACACTTTTATTATGGAGCCAGGCTGCTTGGGAATGAATCTTTCTTGAAATGTGTTGCTGGATGACATTTCTGCCAGGTCTCGGCTGTAACCTTCTCCAAGCCTTGCTGCCCAGCCCTGTGCTTGCCTTTTCTTGGGACAGAGAGAAGGAATATCATCTAGAAATGCCACAGGCTCCATACACCTCCAGTCAGTTTGAAGACACATGGACTTTGGCACCAGAAGCTCCTCAAGCTTTGGTGACTTACAGCTGCATGTGTTGTTTTGCAAAGGAGGTGTCTGCCCTTATGTTTCTCATTTCAGAAACAATGAGGATATAACGGAGACCCAAATGAAATCCTCCCTGGAGTTGCCAAGAATGATGGATAACTGCAAGAAAATATTATTCTATGGCTCTGGAAAAGGAAGATCTACTTTCTTAGTAACCTGGTAATGAGGTAGTGGCTCTGCTCTGTGCAGAGGCTGGAAGCCAGGGGAGATTTGGGGTTACAGAGAGGGCTGGACAGAGTTTGCTGCCCTCTCAGCTCCTTTCCTGTATCACTGTCAACTTAGATTTCACATCAAGAGGGTGATGTTATGCCTGGCAGTGACAACAGCAGAATGTCACTGGCAGAGGTGAAATCTTTCCCTCCGTGAGGGTAATTCTTCCTTTCCCTTCCCCTTGGCTTATGTCAAGGACCTCTGGCTCCCTGTGCCGAGTGGGCCATGCACACATGCTGCTCAGGGGACAACACATTCTGTGCTGAGCTTCGCTTTTCCTGCTGTCTTGGTAAGCAGCTCTGTGTCACTGATGCCTCTTGGCTGCGTGGTGACCCAGGACAAAGGGAAACCCCTTGTCACTGTCTGAGAGAAATTGGGGCCATTGGAAGCTGCCATGTTTGCCATCATGGCAGCACTGCTCAGAGTGCTCCTCTGCCATGCTGGCACACTTATATCATCGTCAGCTTTGCCAGGGATGTCCCTTCAGAGACCATTTGTGCTCTTCAGGGGCCAGGTCTGAGCTAGGTCAGAGTCTGAGGGGCAGACTTACACATGTTAAAGGGTAATGTTCCCCACAGGCTGTCTCTCACCTCCTCTGAACAGCAGCTGATCTTGCAGGAGTGTGCCTGTGCCCACCCTCTCCGGCAACCCCTCTGCCAGCTTCTGTCCCCAAGGGCCGGTTCAGCAAAGCTTAGTGTTGTTCTGGGTCCGGCTTCCATTTTCTAGCTAGTTATGGAGGAGAGGATGAAGGTTGTTGCTGCTGCTGCCAGGCCACACTAGAAAACAGGCAGGGGACCAGCCTCTTAGTGCCCTTAAAGATCCAAGAGTTTAATCTGACCCTGGTTCTCTCTTAGCCCTGAACCTGTTGTGTCTTTTCCAGCTGGTGCCCGAGCCTTTCTTTGTTATTTTTACTTTTTTTTCCCTTTTCTCCTCACCTTATGAAAAATGGCTTTCCCATCTGCATCTGTCAGGAGTGTGCCGAGCCGGGGGTATGGCTCAGTGAATATACAAATGCGCGGTTGGACCGTGGCCCCCCTGACAGGCTGGAGATGAATTCCAAACGTGCAGGGAGAAGAGCTCCTGCTGCCTCTGATGGTTGTTTTTCTTATCCCGAGGAGGTGTGAGAATCGCCTTTGGGAGCAGTGCTTCCTTCTGCTCCTGTTCTGCCTTTACCAAGGATCAGTTCTCTGCCATCCATCATCAGACGAGCCCTCTCCTCGCTCCCACGTCTCAGCTGCTGATGGCAGTGCTGGAGAAGGGGGAAACTGTTTTATCCTGCTTTTTACTACCATCCTTTTTCCTCTCCCTTTTGCATTCCACCTCCTAGGCCTCTATTACAAGGCAGCTGGCAGGCTGGGGCTGGAGGGCACTTGCCTTTTCTTGCTGATCCAGGTAGAGGGGAGGGGATGGTTTCATATAATCATTGGATATCCTGAGTTGGAAGGGACTCACGAGGATCATTAAGTCCAACTCTTAGACCTGCACAGGACACCTCAGCAATTCCACCGTGTCCCTGAGAGTGTTGTCCAAACACTTTTTGAACTCTGTTGGGCTTGGAGCTGTGACCTCTACTCTGGGGGGCCTGTTCAGTGCACGACCACCCTCTGAGTGAAGAACCTTTTCCTAATATCCAACCTAAACCTGCCCTGACAGAGCTTCATGCTGTTCCCTTGAGTCCTGTCACTGGTCACTGCTTTGACCTTACCCAGGGGGCTTAAAATGTCATTTTGATTGGAGTTTTTCAGAGGTGTTGAGCGTGACTCCATGTAAGATGCACTGAAAGCACCCAAGTGCTCCTGCATGTCTCAGCCTTCCCCTGCTGCAGGTGACCAGAGCTCTGGGGCTCTGCAAGGAGGAATTCACCATCTCTGAGTTGTGGAACTCTGCAGGGTCGCTCAGGTACCCAAAGAGAGATGACAGCCTGCCCTGACAGCCATGAATTTGCTGAGCTCTTTTCCTGCCTCTTGGCTTTCTGCAGTGAGGTACATGAGCTGCTTCCCTGGCCTTGATGTGCAGAGAAGCTTTCAGCCAGGTGGGCTCAGAGGAGCAGGCAGGCAGAAAATGAAATGAGTGTCTCCATGCTCTTGCCACAGCTATCTGGTCAAGGAGGGGAACTTTCTGGGTGGGCAGATCCCCTCTTTGGCAGGAAGAGAGAGCAGGCAGCTTGAGCTGAGCTGGTTTTTTTGACAAGCAGATGGATGTTCAGTGGGGACCCAAGAAAACCCTCTCGCTCCAGGCTATCCGTGAGCCCTCCATACCAGAGAGTTGTGCTGACACAAAAGCATCGCTCTGTTGATGCTCAGCTTGAATTGCCTCTTCCAGGTGCCTGATTCGGGACACAGCGACCGTCCCCTCCTGCCACCAGCTCCCGGGAGGAGCCAGCTGCCTGCCTGCAACCGGGCGAGGATGGAGCCAGAGCCGTGGAGCAGCGAGGAGGGAGGGAGGAGAGCGACGGCAGATTCCTCCGGCATCTCCACACCGCGGGGCTCTTGGCGAGCGAGTGCTCGTCTGCTTTGAAAGCTCTTAGTGCTCCTGCAGGTGGGAGCCAATTTGTCTGCTTTCCTGCCCAGGTGCCATCTGTTTGTAGCATTGCCTGTGCGGTGGATGAGCACGACGGGGATGGCGAAGGGAAAGGGCTGCTGGGCTGGGAAAGATGAGCCTAAAACTTTCCTTGAGTATCTTCAGCGCTTCTGGCTGCCGTTGTTCTCTCTCCCCTGCATCGCAGCGGGGAAATCGGAGCCTGTCATTTGCTGTTCCCGGAGCGTAGAGGGGAGCTGAGGCACTGCTAATAGCGAACTATCATTCTAATGCTAATTTCCTACCATTAGCTCAGGCTGGGGGAGGCTCAGCCTGGGTGGAGGGAAGCCATTAGCAGATGGAGAAGGGGAGATGTGTGCGGATTTGTTCTGCACCCCCAGAAGGGATTTTCAGAGGGCAGATGATTAACCACCACTGGGCAAATTGGTAACACGAGCTGGGTTCAGTCTCTGGTGGACGTGGGAGGAAGGGAGAGGATGCTTTGTTCCAAGTTGTCCTTCCTCTAGGGATTTCCTGAGTGCTTCAGGCTTTGGCTTGAGTTTGGTCTTAGCTGCTTGTTGCCAGGCCTCGTGTGTTGTGACCCAAGGGATGCTCAGAGCGCTGGCAGGGCTGCAGCTGGTGGCACCAATGTCCTTTCAACAAAGGAGCCAAGCAGGGTTGGGTTTAGCTGCTGTCTTTTTGGGAGGAGCTTCCCAGTTCAGGAGCCTGGACATCCGTGTTTGGTGGCAGGCTTCAAAGCAGGGAAATTTTGAATCCACCCTTGAGATACCCAAGAGCTAAAAAAGAAACCTGTCCTTTTGCCATGGAAGCAAACCCAGCTGCCCCAAGCTGGAGACCTGTCAGGAGAAACCAGGGGCTGAGTTTGGAGTTGTGAAGGAAAATGAACTATTTCCCTGCCCTTTCCAGAGGTGAGCGTTCCTACATCCAGCCTCTTCATCAGTCTCCTCTAGACAAGTGGAAGAGCCTGTGCTGCTCCCTGGATTGGTGAGGTGCCTGGGAGCTTCTGGGGTGTGTGTAGAAGGTGATTGGCTACAGTAGGACTGTAGGGCCTGTTTGGAATTCTTTGGGCAACAGTCAGAGAGGTTTCTCTACCATTCCTAGACCAGCTTGGAAACCTTGGGACTAAAGGGGTGCAAGCTGTGCCTGGCTGGGAAGAAACTGGTTGCCTGCTACTGAGGACAGCGATGTTTGAAGGCAAGGGCCCAGTAGTGTCCTGATCTTGGTGTGACACACCTCCTGAAGACCCAGCAGCCTGTCTGTGGTGATCTAGACCACTGGCTTCATCATTTCATAGGGAAGCATACAAGGATTTTTTTTTTAAACCACTTAAAGACCATTTTAAAACTCTTCTGTCATCTAGCAGAGATGCAGTGGAGGGACAAAAGCAGCCACAATAAACCAGGAACTGGTTAAATGGCAAAGGGGGGAGTAAGGCAAGAAGGGACTATCCTGCCAGGAGGACAATAGCACAAGGCTCCATTAGCAGAACAGCACTGCTCACTGTGGTTACCAGCTATCAGATCCATCCCGGTGTGGAGCATGACTCACTGTTGTTTAAGAAGCTATTTCCATCTGAAAAAAACCAGCTCCTACCTTTTCTAGAGACTCTTCCCTGCCTTGTTCGAAGAGAGAAACAAAAAAGTGAAGGGCTACTTTTTCCTAGTCAAGGAGGCTCAAACAAACTTTCCCTCAAGTAGCTGAGCAAGGGAATCAGCACGTTATGTGTTCTCGAGAATAATACAATCAAAGTAGTTGTGGGGGGAAAAAAGTAAGAATAAAATAGCATTGCTTTTCCCAGTTCAGCACTTTGAATAATGAGCTTACAAGCCAGAGGCAGAGCTCCCAGGAGAGGAGCTGTGTTCAGGAGATGGACACAAGTGTTTCGGATGGGCCTGGATCTGAAGCCATCTCTCTCTAATTTTCTACATCAGTGAGAACACAGCACAGCATCATCGATCATAGTCAACCTCTCTTCAAAAGCCACCTCCTGCCTCTCTGTATGGCAGGTCCCCCTTTGCTCCTGTCTCCGCTGGGGACCGCAGGTGTCCTGGACAGCAGCGCTGCCGGCACATTTCCCTCACAGGAGGGTTCTTCCTGTTTGAGCCTGCTTGTGTTTCTGCCTTTCTCCTTCCTCCACCCCTAGCACCTGTTCCTCGCCGGTGCTTCATTTCCAGATGTGTCTCCCCCTCCTGGAGTCAGGAAAGGCCAAATACTCCTTTAATCCCCGATGAGGAGAAGGTGTGGAGCTGCCTGTCCCAGTAAACCTGCTGTGTGCTGCGAGGGGGAGGGGTGAGTGTGGTTTTAGTGCCTGTACTGCTCATCCGGGGTCGAAGAGGTTGGACTTCGCAGCTTCCCTGAGGCCATCAGGGCATGTTCTGGGGATTGCTGGTGCTGGGACTGGCTTCTTCTCCCCAGCTCTGGGCGTGGAGCACCTAAAGGGATCATCATTCATGCTGGGCTGGTGGTGCGATGCAGCAGCTTCTGGTCCCTTGTTTCTCCTTCTGTGAAGTCCTCTCTGCTCCTTCCTGGCCTGGCCAGGTGTTTCTGCCAGACCCAGGGGCACCAGTTTGGCAGGAGCACTGGTGATGGGGCTCCTCCTGGTCAGGCCAAGGCCAGGCACTTCTAGGCTGGCCAGAGGGATGTGGGTTTGTGCTTGTGGCTGTTCCTTCTGCTGGAGCGTGGACACAGCTGGTGGGTTCGGTGCCTCTTGCTACTTCATCTGTCTCATGTGCTCTTGCTCAGCTGTGGTGGCTCTCAGACCTACCAAAACCTGGCTGAATGTCATGACACAAAAGTGGTTTTCCAGCCCTGTTTCTGGCTTCATGGGCTCAAGCACTAGCTAGAAAACCAAGGACTGAGCTTCTTTCTTGAGCACAGCCCTAGAGAGGAGCATCTTCTGAAGAAACTCTTGCAATTGCCACCTCCCTCTCAGCCTTTTCACTGGCTTCTGAGAGCTGCAGAGCATCCTTGACCTCTGTCTCAGGCATGGTTTCCTGCATGTATCAGCCCTGCTCCAGTGTTGTGGAGCTATTGCTGGCATCTGTAATAGCTGTGTTGTTTACTTCCCAAGTGCCTGCCCTTTCCCTAATGAGCTGTAATTCATCCTGGTTTATACAGGGCTCGGAGATACCTGGAGCGAGGAAGGTGTGCCATTAAACCACCTTCTAGGCTGCTCTCTGGACCTGGGATTGCTGATCTCCTGGAGATGTAAAACAAGGAGGACAAGGGGGACCAGATGGAAATGGGGAATAATTACCTTGCAGGGTTTTTGCCCAGGGCTGGTTGGGTTGGGAACTGCTGTGAGCTGACACACAGGTGCAGATGGATGGTTACGGCACACAGGGCAGAGGGATGAAAGATGTCTTTTTAAAGCATCTGCCTTTCTCTCTTCCTCTGCTTTATAACCTGTTTTTATAGAGACTGCACAAGGAACACATTTTTTTTATTAGCAGCTTGGGAGTGGAGAGTAATAAAGATTAATTTTTTTAAATAATTCCTTGCATTATCTTTTAATTTCCTGTGGCAGGGTTTGACTTTTAAATCTGCAAATGGTCTTTACTGCTAATGTGCTCATCAGTTCAGAAGCAGCAGCCAAAGGAGCTGTGGGACTTGGTGAAGGGGGGAAAGGCCCCAAGGTTGAGCCTGGAGTCCCAGAAGAGGCTGTTCCATGGGCTATTCCCTGGCCAGAAGGACCCTTTCAGGTCCACAGCTGTATCTCCATCCCAGGAAGACTTGGAGAGGTCTAATCTGTACTGCAGCTCACGGTGTCCATTTTGCTTCCTTCCACTGATGGTAATGGTGAAGCTCCCATGAGGAGAAGGAGAGAAGCCTGGTGGCCATGCTGTGCTGCTGTGGGTGATAGATCCTTGCTGGCCTCCACCCAGGATGGTGTGCCCTGCTGGAACCTGTGCTGAGCGGTGTGGGAGGGTGGGCACAGGGGTTGTCCAGACCAGTGGCCTTGCTGGCATTAAGGGAAGGTGGGTACAGGACTGGGGAGGGGGGAGATGTCAGGAAGGGGGTGAAGTGTGGGAGGGAAGTGACCACACTTGGGATCTGATAGAAAAGACTCTCTCTGTCCCCTGCATCCACACTGCCCTTCCCAGCCTCCACGAGCACAGAAGACCTGATGCTCTGCTGGGCTTTAACCTGCTTGGGAGACTGGTTTACACTGGAGCTGGACAGAAGTGATGCCCAGCATGCAGAGAGCCCAGCCCCAGCTTACTTTGACCACTGACCTTCTTCTCATAGCTTGTTCTTCATCACATGGCCACTCTGGTGGCTCAGAGTTGCTCTGAACTTCTGATCTCCCTGAGGAAAATGTGAAGGAGGCAGAGAGCAGCCGTATGGAGAACCAGCCACTGTGGACAGGAGTGTTTTGGCTCACACAGGTATGAAAGCAGCTGTAGCTCAAGTGCCTGGTGTGGGCTTTGGGAAGGCAGAGGGGAAGCTGAGGGAGGGGGGGAGCACAGCTGGAGCATTGACTGAGTCCTGGAAAGGCATTTAATGGGATTACATCACTGCAGTGTTGGAACCAGGATTGGGATGAGAGTTTATGGAGGTGCCTGGGAGCACTGTGACCCAGACTGCTCCTGGCTCCCTCTGCCAGATGCCATCTGGAGCAGGCTCTGTGCACGCCTGGGTGTCTGTGTGCCTTGGCAGCCCTGATGGCCAGCTCTGCTGACCCAGCGTGGGAGGGCTGTGCTCTCCCTCCTCCTAGTGCTCAGAAGATTGTGCAGGGGATCTCCAGGCTTGATCCAACCTGATCCAGCCTCACTGCTGCTCCCACACCTCCCCTTGCTCCTGGGAAGAGAAGAAGCCCACCTCAGCCCATCCCCAGGTCAGTTGGCCCGTGCCAGGCCACCTGTGTTTGTTGGCATTTCTCTGGGCAAAGCTGTCCCCGATGAGGTCTGGGTTTGTGGGCACAGTGCAGGGGATGTGGAAGGGCTGCCTTTGGATCTGTGTGACTGCCTGGCACCAGGAATCCTGCCTGCAGCAGTAAATGTGGTTTGGGTTCTGGTTTTGTACTTTGGCAGCAGGCTGAGCTCTCATCCTGCTGGCCAGGCTTCATCAGACTGGAACCTCTGGTGTCCAAGGGAATGCCAAAAAGCTTTGGTGCCTGTGGCTTGCGCATGTTTTGGGTGGGAAAGCATTCCCCAGCCCTTTCTTTGGATTCCCCATTTACTGAAGGCTTGGACCAAGAAAAAGGACCCTGCCCTCTGCCAGTAAAAGATGACAGAAGCACGATGTGGGTGCTCCTGATCTCAGGGAGGAAACCGAGGCACAAAGAGGTACTCGATGCCTGTACAGCTGCCAACCCCCATGTCCCAACGTGCTACAAATAACTACAGCTCTGAGTTGTTGTTTTTCAGCCAAAAGAAGCATCATTTTTTAAAGTTCCCAGGCGTCAGGAAAACAGGGGGGAGGGGGGTGCAGTTCCTGATTGTCAATATCTGTCCAAATGCAGAAGCCTCTGCTGTTGTGGTGGGTTCTTTTTTTACCTTCTGAAGTTAGAGAGAGAAAAATGGAAATAAAAAGCAACAGGGAGAGAGCTGTTAAAAAGCTTAAAGCTGTCACAAGGCATTGGTTAGTTTATGTGCAGCGAAGTATACAAACAAGTTTTCAGCTTGTTGGTTGCAGCCAAGGAGCAGGCTTTCTTTTTTGTGTGATAAATATGTTTTATGGGTCTTTTATGGGATTTTTTTAAAATGCCTGTCCCAATAAATTATTTACCAGGGTAATAAAAGATCAAGGAAATTGTTTCAACCCTATCACTGAGCATCTAAATCCCAAACTTTTACTGGGGTGGAAGGACCCTCTGAATTCCTCTGTCCTTATGAAAGATGGTCCAGGTGTGCTACAGTGTTCTTCTGGAGGCCAGGTCCCCGGCCACACTGGCACTCCATGTATATCCAGGAGGTCCCAGAGGCTTGACATTGGTTTTCCATCCCCTCAGCATCTATTCCTGGAGATGAATAGTGTTTCCCTCTGCCGCTGCAAATCTCTTGATAGTGTCTGACTCTTTATTTAGGCTTCCAAAAGGCCTCAGAAGTTTAATGGTCCTTTCTGGGGTGAAATGGGAGGTAGGAATTGCTTAGAGATCAGGGAGGAGTTTGAAGAACGTCCTCAGCTCCTGCAGCACGGGCTGGAAAGACAGTCATGTCTTCTTACAGGCAGCAGGGACCTCCTCCCACCCCAGGTGGCTGGATGGGTTTGTTCCTCCTTGCTTGGTATCCACCTCTGCACAGGGGAAGGGACAGGTTCCGCTGGCTTGGTCTCCATGGCAGACAAACCCAGAATAGCCTTTGCAGAGGTGAAATAAAAATTGATGCCGTTTTTCAGCCACAAAGTCTATAAATACATGTTTTTTGGGCATTGGAGTAGGCTTTGAGGTGTTGTCAGTCCCTCTCTCTGCTCCTCCCAAGAGGAAGGAAAGGGCTGGGGATCCTATTAAAGGTTCCCCCCTCAGGACAGGGTAAATCATTTGGCTCCAGCCCAGACTTTCTATAGTAAGTGGGATTAAGTGTTACCTCTGGTAGGGTTTAAAAGACATCCAGTTGTTAATGTGCTGGCTTTTGTGAGGACTCTGGTTGGGAGAGATGTATCCCTGTGTGGTAAGCTGGTCATAAATAAATTTAGATGGGGTTTTAGAAGCAATTTCTGAGGCTTGAAAGAGATCCTTCCGGAGTGGCCCTCAAAAGGGCTGGTGGGTGGGAAGGGACAGCCACTGTTTCAAGATAGCTCTCAATATTCATGGGAAGGATTATTCACTCAGAGGCTTTCCAGAGGGGAGAGTCCTTGTGTATCTGATGTGTTGAAGCGAGACTGGATTGATCTTTGTTTGTGCTGTCTTTGGTTTATGTTAATCCCTCGCTTCAGGGTGTCTGCTCTCCTCTGCAGGGTCCAGGGAGGAATCCTCTTCTCCCTTGGTGCCTAATTTGGCTCCTGTGTTTGGTGGCGGCCCTGTCTCTCTGAGGTAGTGGGGAGTGGCCACATCTGGGGACAGGGAGCAATTTCCTTAGTCAGCCAACAGGGAGCACAGAGCTTTATTTGGCTTCCTTCTGGTGCCTGGAGGCTTCCTCAGATCTTACAGTTTTGTGAAATAATTCCTCTGCAGTCACGAGGCTGTAGGAAATTCACGGAGCTGCTAATCTTCCTTGTTTGCTTCCTATGCTATGTTACAGTGGTGGCTTTTGGACTTCCCTTGGGCTGGCCCTGCAGCCTGAGGCATGGCTGTGTCTCCAGGTCTATCAGAAGCACTGGGATGGAGACTCTGGGCAGCTCCTGGATGTCCTGTTCTGCCCTTGTGCCCCTCTCATCTGAGAGCTGGGCCAGCAGGAACAGCCCTGTGGCATACATTCCCTGGTGGCTGCCAAAGTTCTGGGGTCTGTTGGCTGCACCCCAGAGGGTGTCAGTGCTGGTGCCCACTTTTGTGAGTGGGCTAAGTCAGGCTGAGGGCTCCAAGCCCATGAATCATTAAGGCTTTAGCCTGGGAAAAGCGTAAATTAGTGCTGTGTCTTGTAGTGGGGGATGTTTGCTGGGGTCAAGGCCCTGTGGTTTGGCTGTAGGCTGGCAGCTGGGGACCAGGTTTTGGAGCAGGCTTTGCATCACAGGGAGCAGAGGCTGGAACAGTGTCTGATGTTCAGCTTTAAAGAAGAAAAAAGGACTCATCTCCCCACATCCCTCTTATTAATTATAAACACATCCCGCTAGTTTGGGAATGGATGCCATAAATTTAAATGAGGGTTGAGCCGGCACAGGGCAGGTGCAAGAGGCCCGGATGGTGTGTGTAGGCCAGGCTTAGAAGCTCCTCCTGCTCGCTCCAGACTGTGCAGCACGACTCCGCTGACTTCGGTGGCATTTCCTCCTGGCTCTCCTCCTCGTGATGGGAATTGGACTGCACGTAATTGAAAAGGATGGAGCGTCTGCCAGCAGACTGTGAGCCACATTCCCCTTGGCAGCTTGAGCTCGCTGGTCGAGGACGGGGGAGACAGGCTAGGGCAGACACCTGTGTTGGGGGGAGATGAGTCTCAGCATCGCGGGGATCCCAAATCCATCTCCATCTCAAGCTCCCTGGCCGTGGTTTCCCCGCTGTGCAGGGGTTGCCCGTGCCCGGAGGGGGACTGATGTCTCACGCTGCTGGTGCATGAGCAGTAATTTGCTCTTACTCGTGATCTCCCCCACACTGGCACCAGGACAGACATGTGAACAGCTGCTCCTCCAGCAGCTTTCTGAACCGAGGACTTGAACTTGAAAAGCATCCTGTGATCCGTCCGGCTGCTGCTGACCCTGGGCTTTGCACCCCTGCCCGGGCATCAGTCAAGAGCAACTGAAGGAGGTAAAAGGCTCCTGGGGTTTGTGTGGTCCTGAACACTAACAAGAGCTCATCACACACGAACGGTGCAGGGGGCCTTGGTGTAAGGCCAGTGATCAAGATGCGAGGGCGTTGTAAATCCGGCACCTA